TTACCCTTTAAATAAAAAGTCACAAGGTGGTAACAAGTGAATACAAGTGTATTTTAATGAGGCTAAATATTTTAAGATACCGTTGTTTAGTGTTTCCAGTCTATGAAACTGCAGTAACATGTTCTTTTTGAAGTAATGTTAGCTCATGAAGGAGCAGCAAGGCAGCATAAAGAGCAAGTGTCAAACTCTCTCTTGAGCACACACACACACACACACACACACACACACACACACACGGAAGGCAGCAGTGCTGGCACAACAGTTTAGCTGTTACCTGTTGCTGTTGTAACAATCTCTGACTGGTTGGTGTCTGGACTGTCGTTAGTTAAGTCCTCACCAGCCGAGTCCTTTAGTGGACCACAAACCTGTTGATCAGCAGAACAAAAAGCTCAGTCACCGACAGAACAGCATATATACAGGACATGTATCCTGCAGGAATGAGGCATTAGAAACTACAAGTCCCATGAACTCACAGGGAAAGGCTCCGCCCCTTCCTGGATGACAAAACCCTCTATGAGGTGTGTAAGGACGTGAGGTTTGACCACGGCTTGAGGGGGGGGAGCTTTCTCTCCCTGAACGCAGCCCCCACGGGAGACCGACAGCGCTGGGGAAGGACAGGGGGAGGCAGGAGGAGGAGCGCCACAGCCTGGTGATGAAAGTGAGGAGGAGAGCACAAACAGGAAAGGTGAATATCTGTCAGACAGCAGAACAGCAGCTCTGAGAATTCTCCCTTAATTTGATCTAAAGGATAAAGTCAGTCATTCTCTACATTACCAGTATCTTCAACAGTCCTCATACAGAGACTAAAACAACACAGCGTCTGTCACTCTCCAACCTGGATTAGCTTCTTCTGCACCCCATTATGAAACACCAGACATGCAAACATGTTGCCCAGAAACCACCAAACAACTATAAGCATCTGAAAATAGCAACAATCAGTTGCATATGTGTGACCTCTCTGCTTTGTTCAGTCCACTAGCTTCTCTGCTTTCACAGAGCTCTTTCTTTTAACCATGTGCAGGTCTACAGTGCCTTGCGAAAGTATTCGTCCCCCTTGAACTTTGCGACCTTTTGCCACATTTCAGGCTTCAAACATAAAGATATAAAACTGTAATTTTTTGTGAAGAATCAACAACAAGTGGGACACAATCATGAAGTGGAACGAAATTTATTGGATATTTCAAACGTTTTTAACAAATAAAAAACTGAAAAATTGGCCGTGCAAAATTATTCAGCCCCCTTAAGTTAATACTTTGTAGCGCCACCTTTTGCTGCGATTACAGCTGTAAGTCACTTGGGGTATGTCTCTATCAGTTTTGCACATCAAGAGACTGAAATTTTTGCCCATTCCGCCTTGCAAAACAGCTCGAGCTCAGTGAGGTTGGATAGAGAGCGTTTGTGAACAGCAGTTTTCAGTTCTTCCCACAGATTCTCGATTGGATTCAGGTCTGGACTTTGACTTGGCCATTCTAACACCTGGATATGTTTATTTGTGAACCATTCCAATGTAGATTTTGCTTTATGTTTTGGATCATTGTCTTGTTGGAAGACAAATCTCCGTCCCAGTCTCAGGTCTTTTGCAGACTCCATCAGGTTTCCTTCCAGAATGGTCCTGTATTTGGCTCCATCCATCTTCCCATCAATTTTAACCATCTTCCCGGTCCCTGCTGAAGAAAAGCAGGCCCAAACCAGGATGCTGCCACCACCATGTTTGACAGTGGGGATGGTGTGTTCAGGGTGATGAGCTGTGTTGCTTTTACGCCAAACATAACGTTTTGCATTGTTGCCAAAAAGTTCGATTTTGGTTTCATCTGACCAGAGCACCTTCTTCCACATGTTTGGTGCGTCTCCCAGGTGGCTTGTGGCAAACTTTAAACGACACTTTTTATGGATATCTTTAAGAAATGGCTTTCTTCTTGCCACTCTTCCATAAAGGCCAGATTTGTGCAGTATACGACTGATTGTTGTCCTATGGACAGAGTCTCCCACCTCAGCTGTAGATCTCTGCAGTTCATCCAGAGTGATCATGGGCCTCTTGGCTGCATCTCTGATCAGTCTTCTCCTTGTATGAGCTGAAAGTTTAGAGGGACGGCCAGGTCTTGGTAGATTTGCAGTGGTCTGATACTCCTTCCATTTCAATATTATCACTTGCACAGTGCTCCTTGGGATGTTTAAAGCTTGGGAAATCTTTTTGTATCCAAATCCGGCTTTAAACTTCTCCACAACAGTATCTCGGACCTGCCTGGTGTGTTCCTTGTTCTTCATGATGCTCTCTGCGCTTTAAACAGACCTCTGAGACTATCACAGTGCAGGTGCATTTATACGGAGACTTGATTACACACAGGTGGTTAAAAAAGTTTGACATATCCAATAAATTTCGTTCCACTTCATGATTGTGTCCCACTTGTTGTTGATTCTTCACAAAAAATTACAGTTTTATATCTTTATGTTTGAAGCCTGAAATGTGGCAAAAGGTCACAAAGTTCAAGGGGGCCGAATACTTTCGCAAGGCACTGTATGACACACAGCGACACTGACAGACACCAGCCATGAGTCATTGTCGGTTTAATGGGCACTGTTGAAAATACCCATTACATAGAAAATGATCGACCTTTTCCTTTAAAGCTCACAACAAAGACCACAGTGAACCAACAGAGGACAAAAGAACAAACTGTGTAAATACGTCACCAACATGTTTATGAACTGTGAAGACTTAGTGACTATGTTGTTGTTACCTGCTTCGATGGGACTGGCAGGGAGTGCAGAGGTGGGCTCTCTGACAGGCTGGATCCGTGGGAGGGAGGGGCCATCTTCATCATTGGCTGAATTAGCATCTGACTTCCTCTTTAGAGAACCGGTCAGCTGCTTACCCTAAAAAATGTATTTAAAATGATTCTATTTACTAACAGGAGATCAAGCAAGCAAATAATACAGGAATGCTAGTAGCCACTGTGCACCATGATGTAGTTACAGCAGTCTTCTCACTAAGCTGACCACTTCATGGCTCCAGCTCCATGCCCTGTGCCCACTGCCGATGTCTTGAACACAAACACCAGGGTTCTCACCACAAGGCGTCCTGAATGCATTTCCTTCCTCATAACTTTTGCACATTTCTTAATTTTACTATGTTAAATCCTGCATCATGTACATCCATGCTTGCTACCTTAAAGTCTTCCTCTTCACTGCCACTGAGGAAGTGCTGTTACATTTTTTGGCAAATTAATTCCACCTGATGATCAGCTGAAGTGTGAAACCTGCAGCAACCTGGGGAATGTGCACGATACTGACTGCATAGGGACCCACTTATAAAAACAGTACTATATTGGAAAATACTAAATTATTATGAAAACAAACTGTATCTTATTTTATGTCTTCACTTCCAAAGACCCACAAGAGTCTCTGGTCCAGTGGCGTCCACAAGAGTAGAGGTGGTTTAAGGATGTCTAAGTTGTACATTTAAAGCAGCACCCGTTTGGTACACATGAACAACACACACACGATGCAAAAACATACATCAGCGTTCGCAGCGAGCAGCTGACCTGTGGCGTCTGACTTCCCAGTGAGTCGCCATTGGCGGGCCCACCCGCTGGCGCCTCTCTCTTCTCTTTTGGGAGGGAGAGGCTGGAGCGAGACAGTGAAGATGGAGGAGAGGAAATGGTCGGAGATTGAGAGGAGGCGGGGCTTGAAGCCAAGGGTCCGTTCTGACTCTGTCCAGAGCTTTGATTGGTCTGCGGATGCACCTGAGAAACTTGAGCCAATGGTGGAGCTTCTTGGGGTGACTGGAGCGTCTTCAGCCCCACCCCTCGGCCCACAACCCCACCCTCCCTGGAAGCGATGGACGCCACCATGGTGAGCAGGCTCGATGAGCTGCTGAGCACGGTGGCTCCATCCTGGCTGCAGCTGCCTCTGGCCCGAGCCCGAGGCCGGGC